ACTTGAGCTTGATATCTCGCGCTGCTCTCTGCCTTACAGGTTGATTAAACATATCAAAGTTTTGTTTAGATAGTTCTATTAGAAGGATCAGTTATCAGCAATGGTTCGTGTTTATTCGCAAAGTGAAAATTACGAGACCGGTGCTACCTTAACACTAACGTATGCAAACCAAATCTAGAATACCATCATGCTGAGTACAATTCTAAGGCAAATCCCGAGCACAAACTGATTTCTTGCCGTTTACTTTCGCAAAATTCAACTCGCATTTGTTATATGATCAGACCTCCATATGCAATAAGAGAATAATCATCTTGAATTCTGCATATCTCAAATACTCTCGATGTTGTTATTTTTGCACTACTTAGCTGTCTCGTTTACCTGCCAATCGCTTGCTGATTTCATGAAGTGATATCTATCAAACTTCTTCTTATGATCATCCATAATTTGTCAATTCTCTAAATATGTTTAAGAAATTAAATTCGAAATCATGTAAACCTTCGGTGCACAAGAAATTTTCAGGTTGAGCATCAGTTCCATCTTCCTCCATTTTGGAGATGGAGAGAGGCGCTCCGCAACATAGTCCTAACAATTTAGTCAGCCGTATACTACAAGTACTTCTTTATTTTCACATGTTATCACCACATTCACCCAAAACGAACATTTAAGGTTGCACTTGGACTATTTGTAACTACACAAGATTTGCCTCCATATCCCTCAAATCATGAGTATCTATCCTACGACTGCTCGTTTGATAGCGATTGCAGGTCTGAACTCAATTCCTTCGTTTTGAGAGGGTTTGAAGGGTGTAAGTTGTGCAATTGTTAGGTGGGCTTCTATCGGTGGCACGATGGATCATTGGAGAATTGCGAGGGGTGAACCTGACAGTCTTCTATGGTTGGCTGCGACAGGGACAATGCAACTGCCAAGTATGATTTCCTTGGGAAATTTACAAAAAGTCAAATTAGGCATGTAAATCTTGTAGTGCAGGTAGATATAAGCACTTTATCTTTTCATGTATTAGTCGAGCTTTCTACGAAATTCTTT